CCCCCCCCCCCCCCCCCCCCCCGCGTTTCCCCTGGCGGTGGGTCTTTTCCGGCCAAGGCTGCTGTGCTGTGACACGGGTGCCCCCGGGGCTTTTCTTGGTAGGAAACAATTAACTCCTTTGGGACTATAAGAAATCCTTGAATGGCAAAGTTAAGCTGCTGGTTCAGTGGGAATCTAATACTTTCTCACAAGAGAAGAAAAATATACAACCTTCTAAAGATACCATAGAAAATATTAGAAAACGGAGCAGGAAAAGAAAAGATTTCTTTACAAATACCTATTATATTTGTTTTATTTGTTAAAGATTTGTCCTTGGGCTCTGGGGAGCTGTGCTAACTCGTGAAAAGTGACTACAGAATTTTGATTATATTCAATAATGATGGCAGCAGTGATTATATAGACATGTGTGTGTGCGCGTGTGCATGCGCACACGCCTTCAAGTGAGTGTTGATTTCTGGTGACTGCCTGGATGAGCCCCTGCAGCTTTCTTGGCAAGAATTTCAGAAGTGGTTTTCCACCACTGCCTTCTTTCTAGGGCTGAGAGAGAGTAACCGGCCCATGGACTTTTACCTTTCTCTAAAAGTATGCCTCTGGGATATATGTTTAACAAATAAATAAGACTTCCCAATCAAACAATCCTCAGCCAAGGACCGCTGTCCCAGCAACGAGAGGGATTGGAATGCTGCAAGGAAGACAGCTTATTCAGGGAAAAAATGCCGTACGTTTCTGATGTAAAAGTCAACTGGGAAAATCTTTAACAGCTGAAAAGTAAAGATGGTTGTTTTAAACATTTTGAAAAGGAGGAAAAGTGACTAAAAGGCACAATATGGCTGCTACCATGAGGAGGAGGGCTGAAGGTCAGAAGAAACCCTGGTGCATGAGGCAGACCAGCTCCGGACCTAACCCCAGGCCCAGGGGGAAGGCCAGATGGCCAAGGGGTGGGGGGGGCTGCCCTGTCCAGAGGAGAAGGTGCGAAGCGTGGAGGAGGAAGGGCGCTTCAGGGCCCTGGGGGAAGGAAAAAGATGCTGGAAGCCCAGAGGCAGTTTGAGAGTGAAAATGAAGGAAACCTTCAAGCACAAGAGGAACAAGGGCAACATGGAGGATTAGGGCAGACGTCAGTCATAAATCCAGCAAAAGGGGAGAACAACACAGGAGACTGGAAGAGCACTCAGAGATGGAGCGGGTGTGAACGCATCTCAGCTTGATGAGGGAGACTCCCCTGAAACCTTCCTGAGGATTGAGATGATTGCTGAGACAGATTCAAAGAGGCTGTTTTCCAATGGGATCTGATTTCTTCAGGAAAAGATTTAAAACTCAGCTTAAGGCAGGCCAATATTTGGCACCCAGTTATGTCAACTTCCATGGAAGTGGGCAGAAGAACACAATGAATTGAACTGGGTCCATTTTAGAATCATAAAAACATACAGTTGGAAGTGATAGAGGTCAATAAGCTTGACCTGAGGGTAGGGATAAAACTACAAGTACATTCCTTGTGAATTTGAAATGCTTTAACAGTTCCTAAGCTGTGTGAGACTTCTGCATTTAAAAGAGGGTTAAAAGAAGATTTCTCTCTGGGAAAAATCAGAGAAATTACAACAGCAGGAAGAAAGTCTGAGGCAGTAGAAACCTCAAGAGAACTTCCTCATTGGGAAAATGATACATTATATAGAAACTGGTGACCACCTAAGAGAAAAATTATCTATCAGTGAAATAATTAATCATACTTGCTAAACATAGAAAATATGTAGCTTGCTGTGTAAAGTAAATAACTTATTATATAGTATTGGATATTAAGGCAAAAGCAAAATAAAATGGAGATTTGTCCAGGAATTTCTTAGGGATGTTTGCAGGGTATGGTCAAAAATGTTAGATGGGGGTGCTGGCAGTGCAACTGAAGCTTTGCCTCTTTTCATGCGTGACACACACCTTGCAGTTGCTCCTGTAAGATGTGAAGAGTTATTACCAAGGGTGCCAAGTTTTGTCAAGTGAACAAAATGAAAACACATTGCATTACTACAACCTTCCCATACCCACAGACTGAACTGAATCTTTTTGAAAAGCAGCCAGAAAAAGTGGAAAACATATTCTAGCAGTGGCACAACTGGAGATCCCCAGACAATGGCATGGTCTTGTCTAGAATCCGCAGAAACATTGCTGAGCATATTTTTGCCTTTGTTTCTTCCTCCCAAACTAGATGAAGCAAGTATCGTGCAAAGTTTAGGGAAATATTATGGCATCACCCAGTGGTTTATCCGAAAGGCTCAAGGGTACCCTGAAGTCCATTATTAAAACATTCAGTAGATGGCTGAGAATCCTGAGAATTGGGATGGAGAATGACAGCAAATCCTGTTTGCCTGTGTAGAGAAGCGCACAGGCATCCCCAGAATTTTCCTGTTTCAGCCCTTTCTTTGAAGGAAAATAATGCAATTACTTTCTTCAGTAAAAGAGAGTTGAGGAGCAAAACTCTGAGAACAAAGTAGCTGTTATACAGCATGCACTAAAATTTAGAGAAGTCTTAAGTAAAATTAGTTGAACAAAATCTGGCCTGCTCTCAGGAATATTAAAAAAACTCAGGAATGATAAGAGTTTTGAACTGATACCATCCCATGGTAGTTCTTCCCTTAAAGACTGAATAAATTAAAAGCTGTATGGGAAAGTTAAATTTGTTTATTCATGTATGTATCGACTTTCATGCTGCCTTTAAACACATTAAAAAAACTCTATTGGAAAAGAGAAAGGTGTCCTTTGTTGAAGACTCAATGCTGGTTACTTTGACACTAGTGCAATTTAAAGCAGATTTTGAAAGTCCTGATTAGATGATGTCAGCAAAAGAAAAAGGAGGAATTAAGCAGATCCAGT